AATTAATCCATTCAAGCATGGGAAATATTGAGTTTACCTAAACTAAAGAAAACTATTTTTGTCAATAATGATAACACAAAGAAGTCATAAAGGTTTAACCAGCTTAGAGTAATATGATGTTTAACAGGAACCTACTTCAATAGCAAACATGATCATCATTTACTCAGCAAGTGCGACCAAGAATTTTAGCATGATGATTTCTTTTTGCCAATTTGCTAATGTTTGTATGAATACATCATAAAACCCACAGGTCTCATTTGATGATAGAATAAAAGTCACCACTGGATTTTCTCACATGCAACAGCTGTTTTGCAGATAAACTTTTGCTAAAATAAGTTGTACATAATTTTTTGTCAGTTGCACCCAAAGAAACATGTCCAATTGCATAATTGTTCAGAAGTGGGGTAAACTCACAGAAGCTACAGGCATATGATTAAAAAACAAGCAGAAACACTATTCAGCTTGCCCTTACTTTTCTGCTGCTCTGCTACTCCTATCTTTTTCCTGAGTTGGCACTTCACTTTTTTTAGGGCAAATGTATTCCCGCAATTCTTCTATGCTCATTGAGGAGAAACTGTCACTGACATGAAGCCTGGATAAATTGCATTCATCTAAAAGCTTTGAACCTTCGGCAGGGTCTGGGCCGGCTGATAAATCCTCAAGTTGTTCTTTAAGATGCTCCACCATTGTAAAACCTACACAATTGCTCGTGCAATCATCATTTAACTTAATACAAATAAAAGTCATCAAATCTATATTCAGGTAAACAAAGAAATGAACCCAGGTGTCATTGACTTCACATTTGGGGACGTGGACCCTTATACTCAAATGTCAGGTTTTAAAAGCATGCAGGAGAGCAAAAGCTTTAAGGTCATGCACATTGAAGTAACAAACAAACACGTATCCAATCCTAACAACATAATTAAGGATTATGTAGTATAATGTAACAGTATGAAGCAAATAGAGTCAATACATACCATGGCATATAATTAAAAGAAAACAGCTCTATACTTTTACAAACTAAATATTTCTTAAATTTGGGGGAAAATGCCATCTAGGAGTTTGATACTGACTTGTGATATACTGATTCAAAGAAGATAAAGTATGTACTCCATATATTGACTGATTTCATGCTTTTAGTAACAAAAGTAATTACTTAATTTAAAGTTCTCAAGTTACCTAATTTCTTATGCTACCAAAAAGTGTTGCATTTAAGCAGTAGTAAGGGCATAGAAGACTTTCCAAACTTCAGTTTCTTAAGATTATCCAACAGTCTAAAAGGATGGTTATGGCCAATGCAAGCAAATAGACAACTTACATTAAAGTCAATACTACTGATATCCTTTAGAACGACAACTAATGTACATGGTACAAGTTCAACCTTGCATTTACAGGTAAATTATGTTAGTTATGACCAAGAACTGAAGAAAAACTGTATTGATGATGGTGAAAGAAAGTCAATCCTCAGTTCTCTAAGGTTATCCAACAGTCTATGAGGATAATTATGGGAAATGCAACCATACACAACATAAATTCAAGACAACAACATCCACATGCTTTAGAAAAACTATAATGCACTGGTTACAACTTCAACCTTGCATTTACAAGTAAATTATATTAGTTATGATTAAAATAATGAAGATAAACTTTAGGAATGATGTTTGAAAGCGGGTGCATGGACCTCCTAAATACATAGAGGCTCTTGTACAAGGTTTAAATATAATACAAAAGAAATCATGCTTATGTCATAAATCTAAAGAAGTGTAAAGGTAACAAAAGCAGATGCATATTTCAAGGAAATGACAAGCAAGACATACTAAGGTGTCGGAGCTTTTTCAAGTCAAACTCCTTGGCCAAAGATGGATGGCCAATTACTTTTGCTCGCCGCATAGCCAGCATTTTTAAGGCAATCAACATATCCTACCAAACAAAAATCTGTCGTTACAAATAATAAACATTTGAACCATAAAGAAAAGGATTGCAATCGTGCTGATTCAAGTGTACAGGGGAAAAGAAGAACTTACAAGTTCTGATTCAGATAAAGAACAAAGCCAACGGACATCTTCAATGTCATTATTACCCAGCATATCACTAGTACAAGTATCAACCTCTTTTCTTTTCCCCATAGGAAAAAGACACTGATGCAGCAAAACTCAAGTATCTGCCAAGTTTTTGCACAAGTATCTTAAATTTTAGGATTAAAAATCACATGAAAAAAAAAAAACTCCTTTCTGATATCTTAAGTGAAATCATGCACGACTACACAGGCACTATTATTTGTTTCAAATTCTTCACTAATTTCAGAAAATGTTCAATTCTGAAGTGGCCCTTCAAGAGGAAACAGGAGGAAACAAACATCTTCTTCTTCTTCTTCTTCTTCTTTTCCTTCTTTAGCATTTTTTGCAAGTTGGAAATTCCAGATTAACAGGAAAAAAAATCCCAACTTAAGCCAATTGATACTCAAAAAATCACAAATTTCATAAGAATCTCCAGTGCCCCCACAGGTCGTAACAAGAGAGGAAGTTTTTGGCTCGGGAGACTTACTGGTAGCGGTGGAGGCGATGTTTCAAGACTCAACTGCTGTCCAAAAGAAGCTTCAGAAGCAATGGGGCTAAGGTTTTTGGACGTCAGAGTAGGTTTGCCGGGTTTTTCCACTGCCTTTGCACCGAGAACTTGTACTAGATGAGCATCAAACAATTAAAAAAAACCCAAAAAAACACAATAAAAATTATATTCAACTTAAAAAAAAACCCACAAAAATTTAAAAAACAACCCACAAAAATTTCAAAATACAACTCAAAAAAATTCAAAAACAACCCAAAAAACACATTATACCCAACTTCAGTTTCCAATCTTCGGTAACAGCTACTTAATGATACCCAAATTTATTTGAGCACCGGTAGCATCAAACTAAATGATAAAGTAATACCGGAAGATAGAAGCCAAAGCTTTCAAACTCCAAAAAAAAAAAAACCCATAATATAAAGTTAGAAATAAACTGGAAGGCAGTGCAAATTTTCCTTCTGATCAATTCGCCAGACCCAAAAAATCCCAACAACCTTAGACAAAACTAAATTCCCCGAATTGCTGGAAATTCATGACAAACCTGTTTAATTAGAAGTTGTTGCTATTTCATCCGCTGTCATGTGGGCTTTGTTCTTGATGTGAGCCCTTTTTTTCCCCCTCTTTGGCTCTTATATGAATTTGATGTGAAGCGTAAAGTGATATTTGGAGGGAGGTCGAGGAGTCGGACGCCGGGGTTTACATAGGGGGTTTGTGATGATAGAGGGCGCAAATACTTGTGTACGTCTGGTCTACTCCTCACCTGTAGACCGAACGGTGAAAAACTCGCCACGTCATCAATGAGAATCAAAAGTCTCCAGACGCTAGAATTTTGTTCCTGCACCTCATTTAAGCATGATTCTCTTCCCCTCTTACCTTAACCTTTGGCTTTGCCAGATTTCGATCTCTCAGTAGGCAATTCTTCTCCTCCTCTAATTTTTTTTTTTATACGTATTCTTTGCCTAATACTAGTACTAGTACAAAGTATGGCCTTTGATTATGGTTTCTTTATGGTTTCAGCTTAAAAAGAGAAAGAAAATTACAGTTTTAGTACGTGGAATATCAGCGATTTGGATAAAAGCAAATTTAATTCTAAATATTTTAATTTGTAAGCACATTTAGTTTAATTGATTGATTTGGCAAATTGTTATCAGAATTTAATCACGTCAGTAGCACATGCTGATGGCCAACTAAATTTGAAAAAAGCAATGACAAATTATTGTACTTTTGATCCATTAGTGCCTTTTAATTACATATTATGCCTACCAATATACTGATGTCTCAAACATTTGATACTAAAATTACAAATTTCTTTAAAAATAATAATATTGTGTTCGATTGCATTTAAAGATTGAGACAAAAAACCTAACAAAAAAAATTTAAGAACTTGCATAGGATATTTTGGTCAAAAGAAAAAAAGAGCGAAAATTGAGGGTTAAATTGAAGTGGAAGGCAGACAGTGACGAAGCCAGAATTTTTTTTTAAAAAGGCCAAAATTTTATTAATATGCTATGTTCAAAATAATTTCCATCCATTTCAATATATAACATCTAAAAAATCAAATATTAACTTTAATTATATATATATATATTATATAAATTCTCATAATTAAAATTATGAAAAATTAGAGAAAATCAACTTCATTTTATACATATATTTATACACTATAAACTAAAATTTTCAAAACTTAGGGCTATCCACCCCATCAGAGATCCATTGGTTGAATTGAACGCAAAGAAGAATCCTCCGATCCTTGGCTGAATTCTGAGGGCTCAGTGGAAAATTTTGACGGCGTTGCGTGGGAGAATTTCTTTTCTGACGTGGCAAGTTCTACATGGCTTGGTCTTGGAGTGGGCCATACACGAGGCCTACATAAACTATTTATTTATTGGGCTAATTTCGGAAACCTCCCCTGAGGTTTCTGACACTTGCACTGAGACTCTCCAAGTTTTAAAAATTTCATTGACCTCCCTTACTTTTGAGTTTTTGGTAACAAAGCAGTCCAAATCATATTACAATATTATTTTCAGGTGTGAGAAGGTATTTTTATTCCATTCCATGGCTGCCCTTTTGCTCCTTGTATTAGTAGAAGATTGAAAGAAGAATAAATGATTTGGACTGATTACTAAAGTTGAGGGGGTGTAAGTGCAATAAAAAAATTGTAAGCACCATATCTGCCATGCAACAGTTATTTGTCAGATTTTGCAACGGCCAGATTTTTGCACGTTCAGTAGCAATAGCATATAAAGCAAAGCAACTTAACTACCTCTGATTCAAGCTATTATCATTCTTTGCTGCTGATTTGGAGTGATAACAAAGTGAATTTGCTGTGCTGCAATTATAGCTCTCAGCACATTGGCCATCGAGTCATGACAGAAACCAACTCCTTGGCCATCCAGTCGGATGTGGCCTCAGCACATTGGGGGCGCTCGCTGCCGCCGGAGCAATTTACTACCATTTTTAGCTCTTCAAAATCCAAGTAAATTCTATTATGTCCGGATTCTTTTGAGCCTTTTTTTTTTCAGGCCAAAAAATTTAGCAATAAGGAGAGATGGCGGCACAAAAGAGAATCAAAGCAATATTAGAGAGGCTGTTTCCGGAATCTCCGACCACCGCCACCACCAAATCCAAGCCTAATAATAGCGATAATAATCATCTATATAATAACGGCTCCTCTGCTTCCACCACCACCAGGTCTTCTTCTTCAGCTTTCCTCGTTAATTCTCTTTATATAACTCTTAGCAACGGCTTCTCATTGCTCTTTTATGTACTCATTGTCCGTGATGATCTATTTAGGAGGTTGTCTACTTTCAAGTCCATGATTTGGTTTGCTAAACCACAGGTACAAATCTCAGAGCCTGCTCTCTGCAATGGGAATTGTTTTTTTTTTTTTTTTGGATGGTTGGTTCTAAATTGCAAGAATTAATTCTTTTCTTGTCAAATATCAATCATGGGCATTGGCTGTTAAAGTTTTGTCTAAATTTTCCTGATCCAATTTATAACTCCAATTCTAGTACACAAAATTTTTCGGATAGTTGAGAATTGATAAAACTTTCATGAGATATTCACAAGAAGATCAATGAGGCGTGGCAACATTTCACTGTTACAGCATAAAGTAATCTTGCCTGTTTTAATGAGATGCTGGAATCTCCGTGAGCTGATCCACTTTGCCATATAATTATAGCATCATTTGTCAAAACTGTTTCAACTTGGATGTTTGCCTTTAGTGGCCATTGTGGTGCTCATAACATCATACATTTTGGTGCTCATATATTCATGAAACCAGAAATTTATATTTTGTAAAACTCCATCACTCCCACATCACCGATATATACACCACATTTAGAATCCACCGTGGTTCATCTTTTCAAAAAGACTTGTCCAGAATGTAGTCCCTTGTGAGAATATAAATATCATCGAGTTTCTTGGCTGCTATAAATCAGGTTTTCAGTTCTTATATTTTTTAGAAAAAAAAAAAATTCTCTCCCATTTTTTCGTAAGCACTGAATGAGAGCCTAAGTTTCTCAGCGACATTCAAGTATTCTATCATAATTGAAAGTGCAGACATGTATTGCCAGCCTTCATGCCAAGAGCTCAGGATGGAGAGGCTCACTAAAATTTTCCTCTATGGTATTGAAAAGTTCATTAAACTGCCGGCGGACTTTAAGGGGAACAGAAGATGGAAACACAGAAAGCATGTGCAGTCCCAAAGTATGCTTCTCTTAATTAATATTTCTGCCAAACTCTAAACGAAACTCTAAGGACAAATTGGTCATTTCAATGCTCTGCATGTCAGCGATGGACCCCAATACTCTGCCAGGGGAGCTAGGTGAAATTTTTAAAACCTGGAGGGGTCTCAGTGCAAGTGTCAGAAACCTCAGGGGAGGTTTGTAAAATTATCCCTTATTTATTTCTTTATTTACTTTTTGCCCCGTTCAAAAACCTCAGTCCCATTTTTTCTCTTATTTCTCAGGCTTCCCTTTCCCTCGCTCTAGGAGTAGATATAACCGCCACCGCCACCGCCGCCGCCGCCTCCTCCTCCTCCTCTATCCTGGGAAGTCTACCCAGCCAAAAAAGGTCCAAATTTCCTCTGAGGTACTAAGTTTCTGTGAATTTTGTGAATGTTACTTGTAATTGGTTAAAGTTGTGGTTTTTGGGGTTAAAGCTAGGAATTTTTTTTTTTTTTGGGTTCTGTTCATTTTTTGTCGAATTTTCAACTTGAAAATAGGAATGATAGAAAACGGAAGAAATGAAGTTTAACTCCTCCTGCGTTGCTCTCTTTTTAAGGCCATGTCAGAGTTGAACGTGTTCAGAAGGTATTGAATTTAACTGCTGATGATGAAAACAAATTAAGGTACCTGGTAAAGATAGTGTAAAAATTCACCTAAGATGTCAGAAAGGAGAAAATGATTCTTTTTCCTTTTTAATTTGTGTGATTTTAGTTGGCAATTTTATGTCCAGAAGTTGATAAAGTAAAAGATTCATGACTCTCTCTTCAAGAGAATAGAAGCCAAACATCAAAAACAGCTAAGTATATGCTTATTTAGTTGAGAGTCCCCATGAAAAATAACTTAAAATGGGATATTGCAGTTGAATGAATTTTTATGTAGTTGTAATGAATATAAGAGAAGTCAGGTGAAGTCGTCCCCGACTGGATATGGGAAATTGCTCTATCCTTTTGCCGTTATAGTTAACATCTAGAGATATCCCTATTTGAGTCGCCAAGTTTATTGCAGTAAAAGTTGCATTGAACCAGTCTACCAGCAAGCAGTTGGATATCTCAGTGACTTAAAGATAAAAAAGATTTGGTAACTTATAATATGAGCACATTTGGAAGATTTTGCTTCATATTTCTTGGGAATTGTAATTTGCTTATGGTAATTTAGAAGCTTTCAGTTTTTTTTTCTTTTTTTTTTTTGTTCCTCTGTATTTTGCAATGAAACTGGGGACATTCTATGTTGTCTTCCAGTAATTAATAAGTGAGTGAAGACAAAAGCTCAAAATTGTATGGTAATGTGAGTTGCAGATGAAGGATAGCCCGAAACAAAGAGGATGCTGATATAGTATAAACATGAGACTACAATCTGTGACTTTAAGCTAAAACCTTGGCTACAACCTAAAACTTAAGCATGTAAGCAAGTTGTCCTATGAAGATGGAGTTTTTGTACCTGCATTATTGGTTATCTTGTGATGATGGTGGTTGTTTACTTATTTATTAGTTGCCCAGATTGATGGCATTTACATATTATCAATATTATTGATACTTCTAGTAATCATAATGGTCATATTTAAGCTATATCCTTGAGTCGCAGCCCCCTATAAATATCTAAACTTGGCTGGATATATCTTTTAGAGCTAATGGAAATTCTATTGCTATTCTTTTGATATTCATAAGAGGACATTTATCTTTTTATTACCTTCAGGAAATAATTTTACTTTTTCCCTGGTTGAAATGGGTTCACTCTTTAACATAATCAGTTTTCTATTTTGTTTTTTGTAAGTAAATATCAGTTGCAGTTTTCAATAGTTGTTGCCGCTTTTTCTAATTTAAAACTTTTCACTTATGTTGTAACTCCCTCATTTTCACTGCAGATATAAGATAAACCTTTTATCTAGTGGCTTCCATCCTAATGGAGACTGATGCAGATGCAAAACAAAGCTCTTTGGTTTTGATCAAGCAAGGTGCAGAGGCTGTAAGTGAAAAAAAATTTCCACTTTTTATTCTATTTGATAAAAAATAAGCGACCACTAAGATTGGCATCCTCAACATTGTATTCCTCCTCGATAACCTACATGCTTCTTTCATCTAACGATTAAAAAAGGAAAAAAAAAAGAGCTTATAGTTTAGTCATTCCATGAACCTGATGATAAGTAGTTTATTTTGAAATTTCTGTGTCAGTTGTCTTGCATCTTGTTTTCACTGCCACGACTACATTAGCAAAGATCATATATCTTTTGCTTGGCCTTGTTGTCTCAAGTCTTCATCTACTTAATGACTTCTCTTTTCTGTCTTCAGATAGAGCAGATTGGTTTTATTCTTGGATACATAGTTATTGGTATTTGAGTGCCTATTGTTGTCTATATATGGTGCTGATGCATTTGAAACTTTGTTTGCTTCTCAGGATAATGAAATTTAGGTATTATGCATTAACACACTCTTGTACCGTGCAATGGAAATTAAATAAAAACAAGTGTACCTGCTATGTTCAAACTTGGATTGCTGTGTTAATTTTGGTTTTAATTGGGAGTTAACTGCATTTACTTGTGTGCAGTTTAGGTATAGAATAAAGTGAGATACTTTTCTGGGGGTCTGTGAAATGAAGTCAGATCGGTTACAGACTGTACAGTCAGGTCCTTGTGGTTTCAGTAACTAACCCCTTTGGTTACTGTAAACGATGTAAAAATAGAATGAGCACAGGTTTTGCAAAAATAGACCGTAAAAAATGATGTAAAAGATGTAAAAATAGCTGTTACGAAGTAATTATTGGTGGGTCAAAGATGGCATAAAATAAAACAATCACCTCACACTGCTTGCTTCTTCTTCTGCCCTCCCCCTTACCCTAAAAACTCCTTGGTGCCCCCTTTTGTCCCAGGTTTCCGGAGACAGGATGAATCCCTCTCTTTTTCTACCAACCTTCCCTC